TAGACATGTATGTTTGCTACCACTAAGCATCTTATAAGTCTCCCATTTTTAATCATAATCACATGTGCGGGCTAGCGGAAAAACGAACTCTTCACGGTTACGTACTTGCTTAATTAGAAAGACAAACATGACGACTAGACAAAACGTGTCAATGACCTCTTAAATAACACGCTGCATGACAAGATGTCTTCTTAAAATCATTTGTATTATGTTTATTAGAAAATCATTAAAAAGGTATCTCAAGTACTACATCAAGTATCAAGAACTTAATGTGTCTCTATTTCTCAACTTGTGATTAAATGCTAATATTTGAACTAGAAATAAGCGCAATATATATTACATGTTCAGTTGTTATCTAAATTTACCGGCACAAGGAACAAGCTAACTGTAAAGTGGGATCGTCTCTTCTGAAGACTGAACATAAACGTCAATATTTATACAGCCCAGTACCTTTTGGGGGTTTGATTTTATTCGTGTAGGCCTAACTATGGGGGAAATGTATCAACACTGAAAGGAAAACTTCTTTTGCGAGAACAGTGTTTGTTTCAGAAAAGAAAGGTGGCCCTTCAATGCTTCCCAACACCATTCTTAAACCGTAATGGCGAAAAATCCAAGCGAAAAATTAGTCGAAACTTAATTTCATACGAGGATAAATAAAAGGCGAGATTTCGGCACTGGTGGAATTACATTGACAAGTATAATCTTCTATGACAGGCATGCACAGAATGGTTTCAAAACCGAAGCACCGTCCACCTTGTAACCACTCTATCCACTGCTGTGTTATATTGTAAAATCATTATGGTCTTCATTATACATGGGCTCCTACATACTTTTCGTAGAAAAGAAAACTCCTGGCATGTGATTTTTGTTCGAAACTTCAAAATCCCCCATTCCCAGCCTTAATATTTTGCAACTTGGACTTAAAAACCACTGCAGAATGTTAAGCTTTCAAAAAGGAACACTTCAATTCCTTTAAGCGCATACTTGTCAAGTGTCAAAAATTGCCATTTCCAGCTGTGGTTAAATCCCACGCACTGGAAGTCTAGAATTATTTTCATACATTTGCTACTGGAGCAAAATTAAACAAACAGAAACTAGTAAACTACAAAGCCGAAGGCTTTCAACACACGGTCTAAATTCATGACAGTTAAAGCCCAATGTCGAAGACGGAAGCGAAATCCCATTTTTGACACTTTTAATTTTGCCAGACATTGGTCTTTTAACAAAAATAAAACATTTTCTAACAGGAGTCCAAACTAGGCAAACCGGTCATTTCTGTTCACAATGTGTTACTCAAACTTACTTATGTACCATCAAGTAGCAAGTGTAAAGACCTATTAATTTTACATGAAAAATCTAAAGCGACGATCAATTCACAAGAAGTGCTTTAATAACATGTCGATTGCGACTACATCTTCGAAATATACATCCAAACTGGCTGTGCTACAATTTTGTGCAACAGAACAATTTCTATCCTGAACAGTCAAGAAATAAGTAAAGAGACGTCACATAAATAAGAAATGCAGTTTATATCAACATCGTATTATTAATATCAATTTGCCGAGAGTACGTCTTAAAGCGCACTAAAGGAACCAAAATACCAACTCATAATTTGCTTCCATGCAGAGCCACATTCGCACAAAAAAAACTGTTAGATCTGAAAAATATTTGAATAGTTATTCTCCATACGGCACATAGCTAATCTATGGCATTTTATGACAGTTTCCATCGCATGCCACTCCTGCTGACTCCGGGAACGGCCAAATTGACAAACAACTGTGAGTCCTGGATTCGTTCAACAGAAGTGTTAGAGTTAATGCAGTTTTCCGTTCAATTTTTCTGAGCAGATGGAGAAAAGTGTGACTCCTCATGGTGATGTTTGAAATGCCCGGCTATGAATCATACTCAGTGGTCGAAGAGGAATTGCCATCCAGCTGCACTAGCTGCATTCATAGTGATGGTAGTGCATTTGTTGTAACTTGTATGGCTGAACTAACGATAGAAAAGTTATGATTTCCCAGCTTATACACGCAGAGACTCGAAGGGGTTTCAGCAAGGCAAGATACGGTTTAACATATATAGACGGCTAAAAGACTGCTAAAAGAGCGTCCCATTGCTGTATCAGTAGGCTTAGGCGAATTGGTGCTGGTGAAATCGACGAGGATAGATTCCAAACTCGGAAAATCGGAAACGCGATTCTACCCTTTAGATGGATCGACTCCATTCAACTTTCGATTGCATTCCACTAAGATCCTATTGCAGCAAGCGCCTAGTGATTCTGAGAGACTGTCAACTCGTACGACCCCTTGAGCTTAAAAAAATTCCGACAAGTGGGTGATTAAGCCGACTCAAAGAAGTCTAAACCGCAGCATACCATAAGGGAATCATAAGCGGCTCCATGTGGTGTTTCTCTTGAGCCTAGTTTCCATGTCAACGGCAGAGACACAGAGAACATCGCCGATCAGTTTGCGACGATAGCAGTCATGGAACCACAATTTCTCGCAACGGACGCCAACAGGGACGGCGAAAGTCGGCTAAGTTGAACTTAATTCAACTTTGCCAACTGTGTGCGCTTACGCGGACACGGCGCGGGAACAACGATATCTCTCTCGCTTAATAGCACTCATTTTACCAATTTTATTTCAATTACTAACTATGATTCCCTAATATATATAAAAACTTACCACAAACAAAATACATCAAACTGGATAAACAGTTGGGCTTCCAGAGGCGAAATTGCCACCTAAAATGTGCGAAAAATTAGCGAGTTTCGTACGCCATTTTTTTTACGTTTAGGGATGGAATTACGCCAAATTGTTTTACGCAACACGCTGGGGAAACCTGACTTGAGTAAAGGCTAAAATCGTAGCTTTGAGTTATTTTTTCGAAGGGAGTCCGATATTGTAACAGGTGGGCTTCAACAAGGCGTGAAGACTATAGTCTCCTCTCAAGACTGACAAAATCTATTTTTCACCGGAAAGGGCATGTTGTATCCCCAAAAAGTGTGTTCTAAAAAAAAAGCCACGCTTCCACCACTGTCTAGGTCTTGGTATCTTGCATGTTTTCTGTGTCCGTTTACAACCACATGAATACTAGTACTTTACTTGGCCTGTAAAGTGTGCCGATCACAAGCACTGTGGGTTAGGCCAATTTCTGGCTTCATTCCAATCGATCTCCCATGCTGTAAATTTATCCGGTTCTACGGGTAAGCGACGAAACTAAAGTGACAGTCTTTCTACAGGTCTAACACCACTGCATTCCGCTTTTTGCGAGAAACATTAAAAAAAAACACTAATGAGAAATTTGTTTCCTATCGGGGATTTCCTTCTTTTAAAACTCGTTGGCAAGACCAACATAGTTTAAAAAAAAGGTTTTATACCCATGGTAGCGCATTGGGGCTGCAAGCGTTATTTTACCGGCGCATCGAGTCTGAGCTCAGGGTATTCATCGTTAATTAACGTTGTTTGCTGTAGGCCTCCACCTTCCCATTAACCCTAATTGGCGAGAGTTTTGGACACGGAGATTTCGGCCACAAATGAAAGAAGTTGGGCAAGGACGCTCTGGTGATTCTGAACTTTTCCTGTCACCAAATTGCAAGGGACTTCGCAGGAGACTAGCGGCTTCATGTTGCAGCTGATACCAGACAGACACGCCAGAAACATGTGTTAACCATTGACAGCAGATTGGTGCAGTGTGTGGAGAAGGAGCGGATAGGGTTTCAGTGAAAATTCCCTCCGATAGGTTGCAGAAAGTAAAATGTTTGTCGCTAATCGAAGAGGCTTGCACCTGTTTCGGTTCCGTGGAATAAATTGTAGCTTAATAAAGTTTATGTCGCATGAAAATGAATGTAAAGGCACCTATGTTTCTTAACCAACATGTGTTTTAACTTGAAACACACAATCACAATTGTACAACGGCAAAATTACGAAGAGGAGCCACGTGCAGTATCAGTATACGTAGGTTTCCGTTCGATTTCATGAAATCGTGTGCGACAGTTAAACTAATGTTTCGAATCTCGAACAATTGTACGGTAGATAATCAGATTAAAGTCGTAGTACGATGTAATGTCTTGATGAGACAACAAGCAATTAACCAAGCGCCCTATGAACATAATATGTAGTAACGGAGGGTTAAACTGTTTTATGTCCTTTGCACTGGTGAAAATCGGATTTAGATTCCAAGTGGAATCGCGATTCCTTGACTTCATCGAATAGAAATCGATTCCAAAAATGCTGGATTCGCCCAAGCCTATATTCAGTGAGAAGCTGTCAATCCTCAATTTAAGTTGACACTTTGACAGGTGGGGTTGTTGGGGACGGGGTTGCATTGGTCGTTATACCGTTGCTAGTAAGACAGTTGACAGCAAGTACTTCATACTATTAGACGGTCACTAGTGTATAACAAATTTGTTTGGGGAGGGGGTCGTAGCGTTAGAAAACACTCGCTAATTTTGGAAGCTTGGTACAAACAAATTCCAACAGATCATACGAATACATCTACGAGTTTGTAAGACTTGAAAATCAAAGTCTGGGTCATGTATGCGTAGGCACCATACGGAAGTGATGAACATGGTTTGAGTGACCCAAAGAAAAATGGTATTTTATACCTAGAAATACACCAAGCAAAATATAGTGAAACACCTTACAAAAATTACACAGACTTACCTGGTACAAATAATCTATGAAAATATCCTGTCTTTACCTTTTCATTAAGTGGATAACAATTCTTAAAAATATGTAAAGGTATCAGTAAATATTTTGAGACTCCGTATTGAGAATATTTTATGTTCATGTACATGTGCTTTCATTGTTGTATATTAGCTCGTACGGTTAAATTTTCAAACAGGTCATTTCCAGACATCACGTTTGCAACGTTACAAGCTACTGCTAAGTGTTTGAAAGATTGGGTGGTGCACAACCATATAAGCCTTGTGATGTGTCACTAGCATAGGAATGACTGCCCACTTTCAAAAGTATCATCCCCAAAAACTTCCAAAGAGACTTGCTCAGTTTTAGAAAAGCACACTGACAGCTGTAAGCTTGCCTAAGGTATGTATACTCTTATCGAAGACAATCTGAATTTTCCCTTTCAACGTTGTAAACATGTTCACTTGTACGGAGTTTGTTATGTTTTTGTTCAGGCACATAGCCCGACAGCATTTCCAAACTCTAAGAGCGTTCTCCTTCCTTAAGTGAAACCAGAGCTTAAGGGATTTATGTCGATTGTAATAATAAAAAGCAGCGACTCACTTTGCTTGTCTCTCCATGCCTACAAAGACGCTGTATTTTGAAGCAGAATTTCCAGCATCTTTCGTTTTGCTTTTCCCATAAAGTACAATGTCTAGTCATCGAAACCGTGAATGCGTGCGAAGCCACACAACCTGCGAGTAAATTAATATTACACAGCATAGGCCATTCAACACGTTTCCCGTAGCCCTTCTAGCTATCTTTTGCCCTATAAAGCTGGATTTTGCTTTGCGTAGATTATCGAAAAGTATTTAGGAAACTTAGAATCCTCCATTTTGCGGCGCGGAGTAAGTTCGTGGAATTCGGCACCCAGTAATGGACCGATCAGGACACAGCCTCGACCATCGGGGCCGTCTCCGAAGGCGGCCGGGCGATGCTTTCCTCCAAGGCAGCCAACTTCTCCCGGAAGTCCTCACAGATGACCTGTGCGCTCTTGGAGCGGAAGATGACCTCCCTCGTGTTAAGGACGTCGTTGTAGTCCAGCAACTCAACGCTGAAGATTCTCTTGCCCTGACCATAGCGCTTGAAGCCCTCAAGGGGCCACTCGAAGTTGTTCTTGGCACCCACGAAGCAGAGATGTGTTGCAGTAACCTTCAGCTCACCTGCACGGATGAAAATGCATCTGTGTTGAGTTCTAAGTCATTCTGTGCTTGGTGAGACACTTTATTCAATGACAAGAAGAGGATATTGTACAAACATTATTAGTCCCGTGCTGTGGAAGTAACAGTGGCATGTATTCAGTATTCAAAAACACAGTGCAAGATACTCAAGTAGCACTTCCCTCTAAAACTACAAGATTAGTAAAATGTGCTTTCTTCCAGGTCATCTTTTTTCTTGAGATGTCCCAGAATGGTGACGGTTAAAAAAAAAGGCTTAGAACCTCAATGGCTCTAAATGTATTATTTTTCCCTACAAGCCCCTGAGTTCTCCAAGATACCTTATTGTTACATCAGGGAGCCATTAAGAGCAAACGTGAACGATCCAATTTCATCAAGGCTCGCATATGTCTGTGGATGTTGGGCTGGGCCTTTTTAGCCGTGGTCCTTGATCGTATATGGCCGCTAACATGCACAGCTGGGCGTTGGCTAGCTGTGCACTTGAACCCCCCCCCCCAAAAAAAAGCGCAAAAGGCCACCTCAGGCGACTTCCTCACGTGTAAATCGTGGCAGCTCTGACTGACTTTGCATTATCATTACAACTTTTTAACTGCATGAATGCAGAAGCTAGCACATGATAGTGTATAAGTCAGCAGCCAGATACCGTCAAAGAACGCCGTCTACGTACCCCATGACAAAATCTTTCCATGACAAATCCCACGACAAATCTTTCTGAAACTTGGTATGGACATAAAACGTCCATTATACATGAGTCTTTATTTATTGTTTAAGATTTTATTAAACTTAGACAAGCGAGTTTGACTGTTGTGTCAAGAATTTGGCCTGTCTTTTGAATTAATGAACACTTCACGAGAAGGACCCCCCCTTTTTGAAGGGCGTCACTTGGCGCAACACAATACGCATACTGGGCAAGCTTGCTCGCACGCGTGTAGCATGGCGTGCACACGAGCAATTAATTATTCTGTGTGGGTATCGCCGCACGGAGAGTTACAGCTTTTTTAAACGGTGAACGGCTGCTTACTGGTGCAGCTCCGAAGTCAAAAATGATGCGCCTGACAAACAAATAACGAAGCAGGCCCATGACCTGCTAGGAGGTTTTCTCGCCAAACGATGAGGCGGACAATGACCTACAAATCTGAGGACAATCCTCACACTCATAGCTAGTACCTTTGTCGAACTTTTTCCTCATACTGTCCCCGAAGATGTCCACCTTATATGCGTCTGTGCCGTTGGTACTCTGCTGCCCTCCCATTGTGAAGACGTGATCACTGGTTCACGAAACAACTGAGGAAAGCGAAGGAAACGAACATTTGCGTTTACTTAAAGAGAACGCACACACTTACTTGTCACTAGTAAATTCCAAATACGGTAACGGTGAATAATTTGGACCTGCAAAAAGTAATACTCAAAAAGTGAAAAAGGATAAAGCTGCCAACAATGAGGCAGGAACTGGTCTGCCATCTTTCTGTGCGAATGAACGGCATTTTTACAGATCCAGACTTTTTTTAAAGGAAATTCATCATTTTGTGCAATGTGTAGTACCCGTAACTGCAAAAGAGTGAAAAAAATCAACCCCCTAACATAAAATGCCTCATAAAACCACTCTAAAAAGAGTAAAAATCCACTCTGTCAAAGAGCCATCATCAGAAAGAACTCGAAAAAAAAGAGTTCTTTTTCAAATGGCCTCTCTTTTGGAGTGGTTTTTACTCTATTTAGACTTTTTACACTATTTTGGAGAGGTGCGGTTTTCAATCTTTTGGAGTGGTTTTTAATGAGGGACGTACTCTTTTGAAGAATGTGTTTTTCAGTCTTGTCTTCAGTAGTTGGGAGGTGCTGCCAATGATTTTCGAACCTTCACTTAAAGCTCTGTGCATTGCCGGCTTTATGGGTAAATAACAAGTGAGAAGTATACCCTCATATCGATCATAATTCCATAAATGTCCAAAATGAATTCATTAGACTGCTGGGAAGGAAGGGAATAATCCAGGTTATAAATATGTAAAGAAGCTTATGTCCCGTGGCAAAGGTATTTGGCATAACTGTGCAGCCAACAACATCAGACAGTTTAACAGAACTACTTGTAACCAGTACGCTAATAATACGACAAGTATGCATATGATCAATATATCTCATCAACAAAAACTGAAACTCCAAGTATGGACGAGTGCATACTCGACGCGAACGCGGAAGCCAAGCATTTATAGTGAATTCGATTTGGTTCAAAAATAATGTTTTTCTTCACTTGTGCTCTCATTCTCATTGCCAAATATGAAACGGTCTTCGCGTATTTTCGGAATATCGACACGTTAAATAGGTTCAATGTGAATAATGCCAATATATACAGAGAGAGTGCCGTGGTAAATATTAACTATTCTATTGCCTTACATTTTCCTCTAGACATCATTTTATAGAAATAGACTTAAATCGGACGCTTATTTCAGCTCCAAAAAAGGCCACTATTTCGAATATTTTACCGAAAAATCATTTCCTCCGGTGATTAATTTAAAAACTGTAGGCAATGAGGAGAGTTTCAGAAAACCCCTACACTGAAAGTATATCACAGCAACAGCGTAATTATGAAAACAATGGTTTCTCAATGTAAGAGGAATATATAAAAAGTTTTACAACATATTTTCCAAAAGTAAAATCCAAACAATATACCTTCATCAAGTTCACTGTTGAATATTCGTCGCATGAACGCGATGCCATTTCTTAGTATGAGAAGGGCTTATGTAAAACAACTGACGGCAAGTTTCTCCATAAAAGGCAACTGGAATTGGAAAGTGATTTCACATTAAAATTATCAGCATGTTTGCAATGGATTTTACCAGTTATCGGTTTGGGGATGGATCCAGGTCTGGACTTAGATTGGAGTCTGGACCCTAAAGACAATTTTTAACAGGACTCCGGGACGATAATGACTTTTTCTCGACGGTACCAGAACGTGCTACTTGCACATCACAGCGGAAATTGTGTCAAGTATGCGCACTGGTGCGCTAAACATCAGCAGGTATCTGTCACCAGCAACCTCATCATACGATGCTCCTACCTGAAGTACAGGAGTTAGATTTTATTTCGGTATCCGTATACACATCTACGAGGCTGATCCGTGTTTTCTGACATGCTTGTTCAGCAACTAACAATGAGTGAGCACCCAAACATGCCTATATTGGTACAATCCGAGAATTGTCATATTTTAATTGATCCACATCTCTAGCCTTTTCTGGGTAGTATATACTTTTGGTTATCACCTCCTGATGTACCAGTCATGTCCAACCTCTGACAAAATTTAGCTCTGGATAGAAAAACTCCTGAATGAATCCTCCTCAAGTTGACGTGGGAATTCCACCTGCTGAGAACACTCTCTTCTGCCTCAGACGCACATGGGCTCAGTGGAAAACACTGAACCGTCTGAAGACAAGAACAGGGCGATCCAGGGTTGCTCTGAACAGATGGGGTTACAAGACCGGACCAACCCCCTGTGAATGTGCAGAAGAAGACCACAGTATGGAGCACCGTCTCGTCTGCTCTACAATCCAGTCCTTGTAACCAAAAAGACCTTGCAGTTCAACGCACATGCAAAGATCTGTGTCAAGAAATAGGAGACTGTTGTATGACCTCGCTTTGGAGAAACGAGGAAATCTCCTGATTGGTTAGGCCCCATAGCAGGGATCTTTTTCTCCTTTCGTTGTAAAGTCATTTCCTTTTGTGAGAATGAACAGTACATTATGGCATATGCATAGTACATTGTGCGGATAGTATTTCCCCTCATTGAATCCTGACTGGCAGAACTCCCTGATGGATCCAACTGAAGCATTGTGCACGACGCTCGGTTGCTATATTTGCATAGAGAATAATTATCAAGAAGTAGGAATTAAACTTCACAAATCACAACCTACACTGCACGTTTTCGAATGGTAGGCCTACTGTGGTGTGAAGAATTGTACTTAACTTTTAAATGATATTTCCTAACATGTTCATTTCATTGCCCAAGAGCCGCATCCAGGATATTGAGCACCTTTAATTTTCATTTTTGAATGCAAATATCTCATTGTTGTTAGGTTTTGCATGAAACCATTTTAGGAGAGTTTCATGAGCACTAACCTTAACATATTTGCACCATATTTGAAAGAAATTAAATGAAAATGATGCATTATAGCAAACAATAGTGTTGTGCGCAAAATAATCAGAAAAATGCCGTAAAACCACCTTTGGCTAAATTGCAGCGCACTGAGCTCATGAGATATCATGGATTATTGTTCACAGTATTCCTGGTAAGCTTTAGCAAACGTTGGCGACGAATATCGAATTGCAACGGCGACAGTAGGCTCTCAGTCCTAAAAGGGCATAGGGGTTAACGTGTAACATCGTACATTCTTTTCACAGCCAGTTATTTGAAAAGGCTACATGTTTTTTAATGACGGTGATGACAGGAATAATTTGACATACGGCTTTATCCATAATTGATTTTATTTTGCATTTTGTATAACATCCATCCGTGGATATTTCACATTAGGGGCCATGAGTCGTGCAAATGCTTGCGTGAGTTGAGTTATTGGAAAAGTATTACGGGCGATTTACAATGCCTTGAACCACTACAGAGGTTGCCACAGAGAGGCATTTTCGCAGTGCGCTGTGGGAAAACGGTCAACAAAGGATCTTTGTGCCGACTATGCCATGAACAGGAAACTTGGTCCACTGGTTTTTGTCAGGGATGAAACTTCGTGTTTTACAGTATCGTGTTAATTAATATTCCACGGTGTTTTTTGTGAGGTTCTGTACATATGTCTTCAAAGTGTCTAATGACATTCGTCCAAATCGTCGGGGTAAGTCGACCATTTTTGTGGACCCTAACGTAAAATAAAGTTTCTCCGTGACAAACTCTTGGTGGCGCACTGTATCGCGCGTCGTCCGTAACTTATTATTGGAAGTTACCGTGACTTGCTTTTCTGAGGCTGTGCCTACTGTGCATGGTTATTTGAAATGGGCGAAGGCTCGGTCATTCGAGCGCTATACACAAGTTTGCGTTTAGTTTTTCTCAATGGCCTGACTAACTTCACAAATTTGCTGTAAATACCAACTTTCCACCTTCAGAGTAAAGTGTCAAGCTGTTGTACACATCGTCTGGGAAATGAACAGATGTTCCACTTCATTTCAAACATCTGGATGCAGATGCTTTAATATTTATTACCATAACTCTACATATTCACAACCGAGAGCTGAACTCTAGCTCACTGCGCCACTCGTTATCACTTACAAGTCTTCAGTTCTGAAGTGTTCCCCGGGAACGCGTTTCCTATTACACTACACTGTCTGGAGACACACCAAGTCTCATCAGATGGAAAATGCATGGTGCAACTGCTATTCTTAAGAAGAGACCAGTCTTCCCGCCTCGTGGAGCATCCCCTGTTGAAATGTCAGACTTGACTTGGNCTCCAGAGTCACGACTGCAGCCTTTATTCAAGTCGAGTTTTCCCGATGACCCGGTACAATTCAATGGAACTGCCGCCCGGAAGAAGTACGCATGCATCGTCCACGCTACAATTTACACTACGTTCACACTTCACATGAACAGATATGGCTACACACTGTACCTACACATGTTGCCTTTCTCTTGCCCCTGAAACTGTAGAAACAACTGAGTTCTGAATAATTATGTCTGAGGTTTGGTAAAGAAAATGTGGCATGGTTTATCCCGGGCAGTGGATAGTATTTGTAAAATGCCAAACACCCTCTCCTGTGAATACCGACACCACAGTTGAACTTTAAAAAAAAAAAACAAAAAAAAAACTTTTCTTATTTTAAGGAATTAAAAGGGCCTACACGTCAGAAATGGTACTTACATGTTCCTTTGGGGGAAGTGTGACTATTTAAAACTGGACAGCCAGTCCGGAAAACAAACAAACTAAACAAACAATGAACCCCCCCCCCGACTCAAGGCCTGGGTAAGTAGCCTATCCACTGTCTCAGTGGCCTTAAAATGAAAAGATGTGCATTGCCCTTAAATTGTCAGCGGATTGGCATGGAGCAGTACTAACACATGTCGTGATTAATCATGTACCTTCAGAAGCAAGCTCCGTGCACCTTTCACCAGTTATAATGGCTGCTGGATGGTGTTGTACTCTTAGCTTGGGCCCTTATGTTTGAAGAGGATTGTCGAAGGCAAACTGGAAGAAGTGCAGTGCCACTTTATATGTAATTGAGTCCGTCCTTTTAAAGAGGAATTTCGAGCAAATCTGACACGGGAAAGTACTGTTCTCATTCTCTGAAACATAAAATACGAA